GAATAGATGAAAGATAGGAGATAAAGGTCTCCTTCTCCTTTCATATTCCAAATCTCTGCCCAGCCAACTGGGTCTGTCGATACAAAATACAAGCCTCCATATCCAGCTTTTTCTTGCAAAGTCAGAAACCTCAGCCCACTTAAAAATGGACATGTTCTATGCTGGTCCTAGAAGATAGATACACTAAAATTCAAACATTCAAAGAAATACTTAAGACATTTCAATTTCTGATTATTTAAAATATAGGGGGTTTTACATTAACAAAAACATACTGTGAATATTCCCAGCAGTTTCTCTGCAATGACTTCTCTAAGCCAAGTTGCAAAACACTGTCATAACTCTCTTTTAAATCGTCGCCAAAAACCCATATCAGGGCTAGGGTGAACTTTTAAAAATTTAATCAAACTGTATTCAAGTTCCTCTTGATTTAAGGGATGATGAAAACAAGACCTACAATTTTTGCTATTATTCCAGCATAGCCAATTAAGATGTTTATACTTCTCAGGGAGCCTTCAGCCCAAAAGGCCCGTTTTAGGGAATGCGTAATCTCAGATTTTTGTGCTGAAAATATGTGTTTATCTTTAATCACATCCTTAATTGCATCTGAGTCAGGATGTTTGCAAGGCAAAGGAGCATCTGTGGTGGTGGGGTGGATAGCCAAATAATGGTAAGACATGAGTCCTGAACTGTATGGACTGTAGACACTTCAAATACACATGAACATGAGTAGGACTGCAGTACTTCCATATTTGATTGCCAGTTTGTTGCTAGACAGGTAACTTAAAATTATGGAAACCCTGAAGCATGTAAGCAGCAGTGATGTCTTTTTTTACACTGGGAAAAATCTTGGGTTTCTTCTTAATGTATCATGACATCTGAGCATGCTGTTTGAATATCTAAAAGTGACAATTTAACAGAAACTGGACGAACAAATTTAGGCTATGGAATTAGCAAAAGCAGAGAGGAGAAGGAACTAGTTTTCAAGGAAACTTCATCAATTGGTGTAAAATTTACATTGACATTACCTGGCACAGCAGAATATTGAATGCAATATGGGGTAGGTATTTTCTTACGATTCACTGAGCAGTGCTCTGTTGAACTGCAAGAGTGCCACTTTCTGAATGTAGGTGTGCATATCTGGTGAGGAGGTTGGCAGGCACAGCCACAAGGGTGTGCAGTCATATCCTCATCAGTAAAGAGCACCAGCTCTCACCAACTAACAGAGAAACTGACTGGTGAACCCTGAAAAAAGATATTTTACAATTTTTTTTAACTCTGCTTGATTGACATTTTGCAATCTGCTCATTGAGAAAGACCTATTTTTGATAGATTTACTCTCACTGAGAACACTTTCTGTGAAAAGTTTTGAAAACTGCTGAAGCATTTTGTGCAGTCAATCTTTTAAGCCAAAACTACATTTTTAAGATCAGTGGTGGTTTTTCATTTCCAGAGTTAAGGTTCTTGATGAAGAAGAATCAAGAATGGAAAAACGTGAAAAAAGAAAATAAAACATTGTACTTCATCCAAATAAAAGTATTTCTAAAACCACTGACTTGCAAAATATTATACCTGACTTTTCATTTGGACCTGAGTATTTTTTGAGCTCAGACATTTTTCCTGAGACAAAAATAATTTTCCTTTCTATTCTATCCAGAGGGACCAGTCAGAACAAAAATACTGTTTTCTATTACTATTTTTGTCCCTAAGCGTTTTTGCTTTCTGTATTTCTTTTTTCTTCCCTTCCTTTCCTTTCTTAAAATGCCCTATCTACTAAAAAGTAGAAGAAAATTGAGTGTGGAACTCAAGAATCTTTGCTCTTGCTCTACTCTTTTCCTCTGTTTATTCAGAAAGAGTAAGAAAAGAGTTATATTAAGCTGAAATTTTATTCTGCTGTTTTCTGTTGAACAAAAGATAGTCCACTAAAGCCACTAAATCATAGATAACACTTCTCTGGGCAACATTATTAGGAACTGACAGCTGGAGATAGATGAAGATCTCATCTTTTAAAGAAAAAAGTACATTTAATTTCCTTTGTACATAAAATAGAGAGCACAGCATTGTGTATCTGAAGATAAAAAGAGATCCCAGTGTATGCTGGGTGCCATCCTTACAGAGATGTAATACTGGTCTCTGTTCTGAGCTTACATTGAGCTTTAAATTCAAATTAATTTAGAAACAACTATTCTTCAATTCATGGTAGACCATGAACTTTAGAAAAAGAAGGTGACATTTTACAGCCAGTTCCATTAGAAAAGAACGGCTCACAGAATGAATTGTTACCATTTGGGAGGAACACTGGAAGACAGGAGAAAGAGGAGGGAGAATGGATCTGTAATGCAGAGAGATGGGCTTGCCCCTGGTCCTCAAGGGATCACCCTGGGAGCCACTAGGCCTCCTTAAGGTTGATACCATAATGGATTTGACACTGAGCACACACAGTGGAGTTGGTATTGAACATCAAGGATCTCATCAACTACCTTGAAAGAGACATGCTAAGAAGCTATGGTCATTTTTTTCCACCAGCTGAGGCACATCATGCCAGGCTCCAAACACGGTGAGTGAAAGGGAATGAATTTCTTCTACAGAGGCATGGCAGTGTATAGCACGCCCTTACTTCTGGGGGACTTTTTTGATGTGGGTTTTTTTCTTTCTCAAGGAACCTGTGACTATGACACATATACCATTCACATTTGCAATGTATAAACATATTTCATATGTCCTTTCTGCAGCACTACCCCCTGTTGCTTTGGTTGCATTTGATTTTAACACGTCCCAGGCAGCATGGAATCAGTGAGGGTGAAACTTCGTTTGCCTGTGTTAAGCAAGACAGTTACATGTGTAGTTAAACACATGCTTAACAAGAAATTATGGTCAGTCCGATTCCAGTGGTATGAAAGACTGCTTTTGGCTCCTGGGGAAGAGTACAAATTTTAAGAAAAACATCTGTATGGAGGTTTTGTTTCTAAGTCTAGAGACTATTTGTGCATTGGCTGAGTCTGGTTGCAAGCCCTTGTAAGAAATGAAGGCCTAACACTATGCAATTACCTCCCTTTGATTAAAGGCTTCTACTCTGCTAGTCTAAAATAAGAGTGGAAATTTTTTTGTGAACCTCACGCCACTGAAGGATGAAAGGTGGTTTTACACTGAAACACTGGCAATAAGCAGCTCTTCTAACCACAAAAGCTTTAAGGAAAATTCTTTGACCATCTTAATGTAAAAATAGTTATTCTGCTTTCCTAAGACTTTAAATCATGCCCTTCTTTTCTTCTTCTTTTTTTTTTTTTCAAGTGGACATAGTTTGTAGCAAAGGATAATATTAGGCTTTCCCATTTCTTGCAGAAATAAGTGCCTCTGTAAAATACAGAATATAAAATGAAACTTGCCCTGGATTCAAGCTGGAAATGCAAACATAGCAAGTCAGAGCAAATGCAAGATCATCAAGGAGTACAAGGGTCTGTGTAGTTATTTCACAGGCTGAAAACTGTTTGGAGTTTCACCCATACACAGCAAGCACAGTGAAACACAAAGTGTCCATGTAAAAAAACATGCAATGAACACTGACCTTCAAATTTCTCTAAATTGCTGTTCTCTGTGAAGAAATTGATTTCTTCCTCTGGTTTTTGGGACTGGTCCCCAGCTGATGATGGGATAGACTTAAATTGCTTTTCAGAAGTTTCTGCATTCTATATTCTGATCCAAAACTCTCATCATTCATGTCTTACTAAACGATGACCTATCTTTTTTGGGTACTGGACCCTTTTTTAAGATCTTGGAAGATCACTATGAGCAAGATTGCTCTCTGCATTCTGATTCTGTAAGTTTTTAACATCCAACTGCTCCTCCAGATGTATCTAGAACTTCACAATTCAGCTGCTGTGCTATTCAGTAGTTTTGAAAGCTTTTTTGCACCACAGCAGCTACAGCTTTTACTAAGCCTCTCCTTCATCTGTTACAGCTAAACTGAGATATTGAGCATTTTGGGTCACCCACACATCTGCACATTCCAAGTACAGTAGGAAAACAACTCTCAATAAGCAGGATCCACAGGGCAGATCTCACACAGAGCTGCAGACAGCTGCCACCAGGAACCATCCAGGCAGATACCCACATATCTGTGGGACTATGCTGATCTCTCCCTCACCCTGGAGAAAGGTGCCCCAGCTTTCTTCCAATTCTAGGTCCTGCTGCTTTCCTTGTTATGGAAGATCCCAAACACCAACCTTGCTACAATTTTTATGAGAGAGATAAACACCTTCTCCTTTACTGTCAGAACAGGGATTTTGAAACTGATTTTTCAGCCCACATACACAGACACCTAGCCAGGCTCGCTTCTTTTATTTCTAATTTCAGCAACACTGATTAGAAGATCTGGCTTCTTCAGTCCTCTATTTTACCTTGGTAATACTGAACACCCCTGACTAAAGCCTTATTTTCATTCTCCTCAGACCTGTGGATGCCAGTTATCAAAAATGCAAAAATGTCAATCAGTGTCTCAGACTGACAATTGCACTTAGTTATCTCTGACCCCCCTCCACTCACAGACATTTAGAACTATGATTCAGGAGCTGAACAAAGTTGTCTTCAGGAGCTTTAAAGAGAACTAGAAGTGCTCTAGCTGGCTTTCAAAAGGATAGTTCAAATAAGCAGCCAAACTGAGCATGAATTTTGAACTAACTGAAGTTTGCCTCTCCTGCTACTGTTATGAACTATAATTCTTCACATTTCTGGAGTGCCTTCTACCCTAGGTTGCATGACAACTTAAGAGACTTAATTGACTCTCAACACGCCTTTCAAAAGTATTATTCCAATTCAATGGCTTAGAAAAGAAAAGCATAAAACATCAAGCCATTGTTCAAGTGCATGGCAATAAAGATGAATTGCTGGAATAGCCCTTCCCATTTTATGAAAAGTACAGCTTCTGTACCAGCTATTGTTGGTTTGACATTTGTTATAATTCATAAATGAGTCAACATTAAAAAAATTATTAATATAAGTCATCATTAAAAAACATGGTGGGTTTTTATTTTAGTGGACAACCAATACATATAGGCTGTCTTCTAAAATGTAAGTTGGAGAGAAGGGCAAGTTGCAAAGTCTTCCAACTGTATATCATTTTTTCTCAGAGGTGCTAAGATAAATCCATTGCTTTCCAGAGAAGCCACTTCAAAGGTAGTTACACATATGCCCTCAGAAGCAATTAGTGCCTAAGAAAGGCAGGGGAAACCACACAACCAGCAAACAATCAACTAAGACTGGATCCTAAGTTAGGACATAAGAAATTGCTCCAAATAAGTAATTATCTACAACTACATTCCAAACTTGCTGAAATAATATGACCATTCCCAAAACAGTCTTTGCAGAATATCACATTACTAAAAATACACAGGATATTTCAGTGAGTGTTTTGTTCACGAAGAAAATGGATAAGGGCTTCATGTAAGAGAAATAACTTTTTGCTTCTTCCTGTGGAGAAAGGGGCTGCTTCTCTTCCACATGCTGTTCTTAGAAAGCTGTGTGTTTATTTCAGGAGCAGTGCTGGTCCATATTGTGAGGCACCGTGCAAGCCTGGGAGCTGAGCACACCTCTCCATATGCAAAGCAATGCCAGCTTCCCATCTCCCTCAATGAAAGCAGGGAAAAGGAAGATGTGCATCCTCTCAAAAAGGCAGTGAATATGCAGAGTCCACACCAGTGGGGAATGTAAAGATACATTTCCAATGGTCTAGCTCTCACTGTAACAGTAGTGTGATGCAGCCAGAGTCCTAACTGAGAGAACACTGTCAGTGTAGCCAAAGCTCTGATGTCCTTTGAATGATCAATCTTACAGTCAGTGGAACTGCACCTGAACTTCAATTTAAGCCTTGAAGTTATGCAGTATTAATTACTCCTTATTTGTCATATTTATATTTCATTTGCCTAATGACAAAACAATTAAACCAATTTCCTCCTTGTCTAGGTCTAGCACAGCTTAATGCCTCTGTATTCTGTTGTCATCTTATTGCAAAAGTTCCATACCTTCTAATTGATTTCTCATGGACATCTCCTTGCAGCACTGACTTCTTCTTTGCAGCACAGCCAACAAATTCCAACTCTTTTCACAGCACAACCAACAGACTCCAACTCTCTCCTCGCCCAGCTAAGCCACTCTTTTGTAGCGCTCGTCTTCTTATTGGACACAGCCGTGGCCTATTAAGGGCAGGCCTGTTCCTAATCTTTGGGGATTAGTACAGCTGCAACTCCTCAGGTGTGAGGCTACATTCTGCACTATTTTCTTACATTCTATCCCTTCACAGTATTCCAGCTTTTCACTGGTTTCCCTATATAGGTTTCCCTATTTTTTATTTCCTACTCCTGCATTGATCCTCTTATTCCTCTCTGGGTGGTTTAATTTGTTCATACTTCGATTGAGAAGCAGAGATGTCTATGACCTTGAACAGCGAAACACACAAACGCACAGCTCCAACTTTGTTCTAGATTTCATCCACCACTTTCTGATGGTTTTCACAACTCTTATCAGAAGAAAACTTGCACAAAACATGCCTAAGATATTTCATGTGATGCTTTATTAATTCCTTTATAACTCCCTAAAAATCAGTGTTAATTCTTCTTCCTGAGTGAAAGACTGGGCCTCACCACTGACAGTATAAAGAAAATGAAGTGCTGAGAGAAGATCTACATGAGGAGGCTACCCTAAAAATGTCCAAAAGGACATTCAGATTACATTTGACACATCCTGCAGAGGGGAGTAAGGCCACACCTTTTTCAAAAACAGTTCCAAAAGCAGTTCTATAGTTTACATATAGGTGTCACTGAGAGTTTTGAAACCAGATTCTGCTGTTAATGTGTGCTCTACTGCTCCATTCCTCTGATGAGGAGTTTCACAAGTCTGTTGCAACTCCTTATCAAAAGCTTCATTTAATTTGAAAACTTGAGTAGATGCTTCTTCTTTGAGCTTTCTCGGCAGAAGGGTCCTGAATGTTAGCACAATGTCCTCTAACAGCAAAGATTTAGCACACAAAGACAAATATAAAAAGACAAGCATTTCAGAAGAATTGATTGGAACATAAAAAAATTTCTATGCACATGCACAAATAGACATGTAAGATGAGCTCTGCCACTATGTAGTGGCTGAAGAAGATTCTGCTGTAATATTTACTCACAGAGAAGCAGCACAGCTCTTTGCAAGGAAGAGTTCTTCCAATTTAAACTGAGAGGTTCCAGAGCAGAGGTCCAGCCTGCATGAAGGTATTGATAAACTAATCACAGAAATTTAACCACAGCTAAACAAATGTTATTTGACCAATTATCAGCTGACACTCAGTACATGCCTTTATGCAGTCCTTGGAAATGAAACACAAGAGTATTATTTAGCCAAAATTGGACTCATTGTTCTGAACAGCTCATATGCCTGTAGAGTCCCTTCCAAGCTAAAGGGCCTGAAGTCATACAGGGACTCTGTGAAGCAGCACTTATCTGGTCACACACATCTAGATGACAGCACTGTTGTTCTCATTAGGATGACAACTTCTGGTACTGACAAGTGACTCTTGAAATGTTATTCCATGCTGAAGCAGTTTTGAATGTTAGAGACTGAAAAACAGTGGGATATTCTCAGTAGAATAATCAGCTTTTTTTAATTGAAAATTCACATATGCAGCCCATGGTACTCTGCACAAATGGATGCAAACAAAGAGCTTCATATAGTACAATGCTTTTTGGACTGATCTCACAGTTACTTATATATACACCAGCTGAATTGTTCAGTGCAAATGTTCCCATGTCCGTTCCTGACACTGGATTAAAAATTAAGACAGTCCAGCCTGAGACTTTTTTTTCCCAGAGGCACCAAAGGTAGCTTTCTCAGTCACTCTGTCTTGAGACGGAGAGCCTCCCGCCGTTGTTTCTGAACCGTCCTGGAATCTTCCCACAGATTGGGTCCTCTGATGTTCTCCCAGTTATCCAAGTTGGATTTGTCCAGCTTCTGCAGACAAACAGCAAAAAAAAAAAAAAACAAAAACAGGGTCACCTTGACGGATCCATGATTTAAAGTACATATGATTCCAAACTGATTTTTTTTTTTTTTTTCACAAGAAACTCAATATCACCATTGGGTTGAACTTTAATCTAGTCTGCATGAGAAGTTCAGCAAGGAAGAAAAACCTAGTAGTTATCCATACTTCTACATAAATGACTAAGATAGGCATTACTGAATCTGCTTGTCAGCAGATAAGTAACATTTAAGGACAGGAAGCACTGCAGGATCTGAGCAAGACTGAAGACACCTTGTATTCACTTTTTCTCCTCTCACCTTGTTTTCCAGATCTGTTCTTCAACTGCAAGTCTGCCAAACACTGAAGTAGTAGGAGTGACAAGTATTGGTATAGCTCAAACAGAAGGATTAGTAATTAGTGAGCTGAAGTATCCTGTCAGCAAATATACAAAGCATGCTGGAAAAGATTAGTTATCTAGCACAAAGAGAGACAGCAGCAGTGCAAACCCCTTCAATCCATGTGGTTTTAACTTGAGAGAGGTATGCAATGCTTTCTGCTGACTAGTTTCCCATGGCACCCAGCCACCACAGACAGGCCTCTTACTAAGTCATATATGAGATATGCTACCTGACTGAACTGTCTGGTATTGAAAAACTAGATTTAATTACCTTTCTTTTTTTTGCCTACTCCTATCATCCCCCCATAGAACTACCAATGACTTAGAGGCAACATAAATGAAGAACATGTGCCCTTCTGACCTCACCTACCATGAGCTACAGTCAAAGAACACAAACATGTATCGAATCTCCACAGTCCCATTGGCAGAGGTCCCATTTAGCTGTCCCTTCCCAGGACACAGACCTCAAGTCCCACAGGCCAGCTGTGGAACAGCACATTGGACATGGTGGGGAGACTGAGAAGAAGGTCTGCACCACTGCCAGAATCAGCACTGTCCTAGGTGCTACTGAACAGGGCAACACTGCATTCCAGTAATGAATGATACTTAACTGCAGTAGGACTCAAACCTGACCTGTGATCAAGGCCTCATCTCAGCAAATGCTGTAAAAATACACCAGAAAATACTTCACCCTGTCCTGAGCCTGTGGCCTAATTTGTCTACTATCAATCATTCAAATAAATGGCAAACACCCAGGGACTTGAATAATAGTTGCAGAAAAATTCAACAGCTATAACAGAATAGACCTACTGCTTAGTTCATGTTATGTGAAAGTTTCCTGACACTTCTACAATTGAGGAAATTGAAATGAGGTTAGTCAGATATCAAAAGAAATTAGGCAACACTCTACAGAAGATATATGAGAACACAGGCACAAACATAGCAGACTTTCACAAGGTAAGAGCAACTGAACTTTCTGTTGAGTTGGCATAGGTCTTTCTGAAGAATTGTCTTTACTACTTTATACATCTTATGCTTAGCTGGTACTTCATTTCCCCATGAGGGAGCTGAACTGACATGAAAGGAGAGAGAAGGAGGAAAGGTACACATCATCCATCAGTGACTATCTCCTCTGATTGCAAATTCGGAATTTAACATCTGATTCGAATGGAAGCTTCAAGGAAACTACACTTAAAATAACCTTGTACTTTAACTGTAGGGATGCATGCTGATTTAATTCAACACAAAGGTATCACACACCTGTGAGGATCTCAACTATTCCAAAGTTGTTTGTCTCCCAAAGCCTGAGCATTAATCAACTTTTAAAATAAGTACAACAAAACTTGTGGTATCTAAAGATAGGCTACACAAAGAAGTCTATCAAAAGACACATGCGTACTGAGGATCTTTACCAAAAAGTTTATACTAATTTGTCCCTGAAACTTCACAGAGTGTTTATAGAGAGCAGGTTTGTCAAAAACAGGAAGCATTTCAAAACTATCATATCCAAACAAATCAGTACCAGAAAGTATCTTGGCAGCTTCTAATAGAAACCATAAAGGTACCTAGAAAACACACTGGGATACACTGACAGAATGAAACAACCAAAGGTTACAATGTGCAGTGCAATGAATGGCACTGCCTGAGATGACAAATGAGATCTATTAATCAATTAAGAAATAAAGATTCTAATGCATACATAGGAAGACTACAATTTTTTTATTATCATTGTATTCATAGAGATCATTTACATTTTGTATCATGTATAAAGACTTTGTAGTATCTTACTGCAATTCAAGAAGAAAGCACCTTCCTTACTAGCAAGAGTATCTGCAAAAATTTAGTTTATGGGATAGTTATCAGTCATCAGAGGGCAGAATGATTTGACATTCCAACTTTCTGAACTGAAGCTATCCAATTTTGGAATAACAGAGCACAGCTGTTGCATATGGATAAGCAAAAGAAGGAGTGTCACTACTGAAAGGGGATGTGAGAATCTGTTCTGCAATGCTTTCCTATTGAATAGCTATTTTCATATGTATCTGTGCTGGTTCTGGATGGGGTAGAATTTTTTTATAGTAGCAAGTATAGGGATATGTTTTGGATTTGTGCTGAAAATAACGGTGGTAACACAGGGACGTTTTCATTACAGCTGAGCAGCTCACACAGTGCCAACGCTGTCTGCTTCTCACTCCACCCCACCTCAGTGAGCTGAGGGTGCACAGGAGGGGACACAGCTGGGGCAGGTGACCCCAACTGACCACAGGGATATCCCACACCATATGGCACCATGCTCAGCATGTAAAGCTGAGGGAAGAAGGAGGAACAGGGGGACATTCAGAAAGATGGAGTCTGTCTTTCAAAGCAACCTTTAGATGTGACGGAGCCCTGCTCTCCTGGGAATGGCTGAACACTTGATGCTCATGGGAATTGGTAAATGAATTCCTTGTTTCACTTTGCTTACACCAGCACCTTATGCTTTAGCTATTAAACTGGCCTTATCTCAATCTATGAGTTTCCTCACTTTTACCTTTCTGAATCTCTCCCCCTTCCCATCATGAGGAGTGCATGAGCAGCTGCGTGGGGCTTGGCTGCTGGGGTTAAACCAAGAGAGTACCTCGCATACAGCTGAGTAAAACCCTACCCTTTTTGCTTGGCCACTGATATGAAAATTCTTACAACAGAATCATCCCAGAATAAACAGCTACATTGGATGTAGGCTAAAGACATGCACATAGCTACATTGCAAATTCATCTTAGTGATGAGAATACAACCAGATTGACAGTCCTCTTAATTAGGTGGAGCACAAGCTGCAAAGTTACACAGCTCCTTCAGATTGCCTGAGCTGTACAGTGAGAATTCAGGCAAACAGCTAGTTCTGGTCTCACATGAAGCTGAAGTCAATATCTTCCATTTTATCCGGCTAGGTCTTCTTAATTTCTTATTTCTTTTTTTCATTTGAGCCACTTGGACATTGCCTACCTAACTTTATGAAGACATCACATCACATGTTAAACTACTTCCAGCTTTTACTAAACTGAAATTCATATGAACTGGAAGGTTAAAACTTGAAACACTTCTTCTCCCAATTCAAATGTACTAAACACTCAATCATTGGAGACTACCCTGAAATGTAATCAGATCAGATCAGCAGCACTTTTCCTGCTTGTCTGAAATAGCCCAAAGGATATTGAAAATTAGCTGTTTAAAGTAAGATCAGTATAGTCCATTAAATCTACTGATTCACTCCCTAAATCAGCTAAACTGCCTCTTAAGAGTACAGGACTGACAGAAGCTGTAAATTCAAGGGAAAAATGCAGTTATTCAGACAGGCACAGTAGAAAGGAAAATATGCTCAACTGTTTGCCTCACTTGACTTTTAAGACTTATCAAATGGCTTGACTAGTGCAAAGGTATTAAAAAGGACATAAAAAGACCTTCGCTTCTTAATTGCTGGTTCAAATGCCTGGCTTAAGTACAAATTATAAGCCTCTGACAGTCTTAAAAAGATAAAAATTTAAAAAGAGAGCTTGAATTCTACTCTTGCAGGATAGTCTTCATGCCCCAATACACAAACTGAAGTCTGCAGAAATTCATTTAGAGCTATTAGTGTTCAGGCTGAGTAAATTCAAGGTGGCCACTTGCAAAAATGCTTGGCTTTAGTCTCAGTTTCTCACATGTGAAAGGAGGGATAAGAGAATCCTGTTTACTTTACAGCTTGATGAAATAAATTCTGTGATGAACACCACAGAAAGAAATAGCTCTCATATAGAGAGCAAATTATTTCCCATCATTATAGTAAGCAAACCCATTTGCAGACAAAAGATGAGCCAGGGAAAAATATCCTCACGGCTGTAAGAGGCAGTGAAAGAATTAAACCAATTGAACAGTCTGTTTTTTAAAGGTGTCAAAAAAGCTTGAAGAGACAAAAGGTATATTGAGGAGCTCTAAAATGATATTTGGATGAGGAGGTACAGAATTACAGCTAACACTGAATCTGCTGTCTTGTGTATAACTGAAAATCTTAACTTCATCATCGCACTGATACAGCTTTAGTGGGGTTTTTTATATAACTCTTCCACAGAGCCATCTTTTTGACATCTCATTTTCTTAATATAAACTGGGTGTCACTTTGCCTAGGAAGTGACATAATTTAATATCTGCAATTAGTGATTTAATAATCTGGGATTTAATAGCCCATGATTAGTGATTGAATCTTCAGTTTAAAAGGAAGAGGTTTTTTTTCCAATTAGAGAATGTTTAGTTTTTATGATATTAGAAAACAAGCAAGTTAGTAAGCAGCAAAATATGGCCAGAATAAGATTGGTTTTTGTTCATTAAGGGAAGAATTGCAGGGGGTGAGGGGGGACTGGCATGTAAGTATTCAGAGAGCTGCTTCTCCTTTTGGCTTTACTGAAGGCTGGCAAAACCCAATAGAAGCTTTGTTGCTTAATTCAGTGGGATCCAATAGCATTCATCTATAGCACAATTAATTAACCTATGGTGAACTGGTTTAAGAGACTCTTTCCCCATGCATTATTTTCCCTTTAATTATGCCAATTCAATGATGTGGGGCTCTGCTCCAACCAGAA